GCTGGAGAACTGGATCTTATTTTGTATGTATAAGAATTATTATTTTTTAAAAGCCAACAGTATAGCTTTTGTAGCTCAGTTGGTTAGAGCACCAGTTTAGTACGTGGGAGGTCTTGAGTTCAACTCTCAACGAAAACAAATTTCAAGTTTTCCAATTTTATTGTGTGATTCAATGTTCTGCGAAATATATTGCTCCCTTTTTTTTTTGAAATTTTTAATTACACTGAAATATTAGTTTTTTGGTTTTTTATTTTATTATTTTTTGGGTTATCATGGAAACATATAGGCAGTCATCTAGGATATGCAAATTGATTTAAAACCCAACTAAATAGATTTTTCAGTATTGCTTTGTGCTTCAATTAATTGAAATTGAAAATAAAAAAGAGGATAGGAAAGTATACGAGGAGGAAATATCCATCGCTCTCTGTACTCCTTGGGTCCAAGCTCCGCGTTATTTTGAATGACGTCGTTCAACTTGAGAACAAAATGACGGTGAGCTACCCAACAGGTGTGTTGCCGGAAAACCCCTCCGACGGTCAAATTAGTACACTTGGAGAAGAAGATAGAGCCAAAAGAGACAAAAGAGAGATAGCTTTGGTAGCAAGAATTCCAGACCTCCTGTCTGGAGGCGCTGCGCAGTTTATATAGTTTCTGCACGCACTACCCTGCTCGTCTTTTCCTGGACACGTGGATGTGCTATTCTCTCACTACCTTACATGTGTATGCGTCAATACTAGCAAACGACATCGACAAAACAGCTTAATGGTATTGACTTGTATGAATGGTGGAATCTCCTTTTCGCACTCTGATTGGGTCACGCGACAATTCTCGTCGAGCTATCCACAACCCAGTCTGACCTAGCTCACCAATCCTGACTAATCTTCTAGGCTGAGCTAATAAACCAACTTGGGTTCGCCACATTCAATTCACTTCCACTTATTCGTTAAGGCAAATCCCGCTTGACCTCAGCGGATAGAAGGAACATCTAGCCCAGTTGAACACACCATCTAGCTCGACTCATGATTTGAGCAACTAGCCTGGTCCTACATCCTGAATCTAGGACTAGGTCAACCATGCGATCCAGATCTTTGGCCCAGACCACAATTAGCTATGTCAGCTTGGTTATATAGTCTCGCAATTTGGCCTAAGCCCACACTAGCTCAGCCCATTTACTAGGTATAAATCCCCCTCTCAGAAAGCATGATTTCTAACATCACATTTAGATTTGAAGCAATGTAACTATCTTATATTGTTAATGAATTTATATATATTCACAAATTTTAATACTAAACCATTACCCCCCCCCCCAAAAAAAGACAATCTAAATCAACTAGTTTTAAATCTTAACAAGAGAAAACCACAACTTAGAGTCCACCTGAAAATCCCAGACCTGCACTGTCATACCTACTTCCAGCCTGTTATTCGTCATAAATGTGTTCCACCCGATCACTAGACAGTAATTTGAGGTATTTTTCAATTTCCACTGCTTTAGATTTACATTATACACTTCACAATTCTCATCTGCTAGATCAATTAGCTTTACCGCTATCCCTCCCCGCTCGAGGAGCAAATCCTTTTCCTCTTTGCTGAGAAATTCCATATTTTTGATTTGTCTTAGTGGCATTGACAGACAACCCTAACTAGCGGTAACGTCTGTGCTGTAGATTTTCTTTTAGATCACCAAAATTGCCTTAGAAACCTCTCGATCTTTATGAAGTTGGCTGCTGGTCTAGTACAACTACTACCCTTTCTTCATCATCACCATCATCATCGTCATCATCATCATCATCTCTATCATCACGACGCTGCTTTGAACATCTAACCTTTTCATATTTTCGTGAGCATGTTGCAGGATTAGATACTAAGGACTAGTCAGTATTAAAGTTGATTTATGATCTTTTTCCCTTTTCCTTGTCGAGTGTAAATGCATCTATTTGCAATCTCTGTCAAGAATTATTAATAGAACATGTAGCAGCAGCAACAATGCCATTCTTCGATCCCTCTATGTCGAGAGAGCTAGAGATACTGCATACTGTTTGTGTATGAACATCGTCAAGAAGTGGGTTATTTTTGACTTTCTGTAACATAAACACAGTGATCTTGTATAAATCAAGATCACTGTTCTTGATGAATGGCCATAAAACCTTAAATTTAGTCTCATCTTTGAGTTTGAGAAGATTCTCCTTTGTATCCTTTACCTTATGAACAAATTTACACAAATTAATACTCGACTCATTGTTGGTCTTCGAGGAGGGATCATTAACACTTACCTCATCATCATCATCCATCTTAAAGAAATCATCATCACTACTGAACTTAACATCATCCCCCATCTTCCTCTTCCTTTTCATTATACTTGAACACAAACACAGTTTGGATCTTTGCAAAAGATTATTGGCAAAGAATGATTTGATAGAAGAACTGTTTGTTGTGAGTTGGAGAATGAGAGGTGAAATTTGTGGGATATTCATGTACATATTTATATACAGTAAATATTATACCAAATATGAAATCAAAGAGATCATAATGAAAAGGGATTCAAAAATTGTAATGAAAATGGATACCTAAACTAGAATGGAATGGGGATTAGATGGCATTATATGATTGGCAAAGTGTACTCTTCTTTCATATTTTTTTTTAAACATGGCAAAGGTTGCTCAAAAGTGTCCCTATGGAACTGTTATTATACGTTACCCCTATTTTTAAGGGTGTCCAAATTTCAAGGAACTTCTAACACCATCCTGCACCATGTCCTAATGACCTTATAACTCTTCCCTTAAGTTTCCCTTTCAAGTAATATTATCCTCTGTATATAGCAATTTTTTTTCTTTTCAAAATACTTGTATCTGAGCTATATGTTTCACTAACTGCACCTTCTCCTTGATATCTCTCGACCTGTAATTGTTATTCGCTATTGGCTCCTAGAACTACAATCCCTGGAGAATGAGCTTGACGAATGGGGATTAGATGGCATTATATGATTGGCAAAGTGTACTCAGATTTCATATTTTTTTTGAAACATGGCAAAGGTTGCTCAAAAGTGTCCCTATGGAACTGTTATTATACGTTACCCCTATTTTTAAGGGTGTCCAAATTTCAAGGAACTTCTAACACCATCCTGCACCATGTCCTAATGACCTTATAACTCTTCCCTTAAGCTTCCCTTTCAAGTAATATTATCCTCTGTATATAGCAATTTTTTTTCTTTTCAAAATACTTGTATTTGAGCTATATGTTTCACTAACTGCACCTTCTCCTTGATATCTCTCGACCTGTAATTGTTATTCGCTATTGGTTCCTAGAACTACAATCCCTGGAGAATGAGCTTGACGTTGTTTTGGAACCAAAAAAACCTGCCCCCTTTCCTTCTCACCTCCCCAAAATGACAATATTTTGAGATATTATAACGTGCAATACTTGCTGTTAATTCATAAACAATGATAATGTCATATAAGAACGTGGTTTCAATGACACAATAATAACAACAAAAGAACCAGCATACGTATACATGGTTTGGGGAGATGCCTATGTCTACAACGGAGCAAAGATAAAAATCCACTATACACAATAACAACTATAAGAACAACTCTGCAGTATATTCCCAAGATCATATAAATTCTTAACATTGTAATTTTCTTGCTATTATTTTTATTTTTTTAAAGGTTAGTTGCTTTTGTTTTATGTTAATTAACCTCACAAAAGTTGATTTTGAGGGCTGCGAAGCATGCATGAGCAACGACACTATTGTGTCCTCAATTCAATACCCAGTTCTCTTAAGAGTTAATAAATTTGATTTTTGTCCGAGCTTGCTTTTGCTTCTTATAATTGGCTTTCCTGCAAAATCTAGCTACGACATTTGTCTTTTTTTTTTCACTTGCCTGTCTGAATGTATGCAAAATTTGTCTCAAACTCTTTTTTATTTTCAGCGTTTCATTGGCTTTCACTACACAAGATTTTAAATCCTGTTGAGCAAGCACAGTAAAGTATGATTCTAGCTACAACCGAACTATACCAATACTGATTAAAGTAGTGATCTCATTAGAACAATCTAATTGGACTCATAAGAACGACAAAATGGTAATGTTGGCGATTCAATTTCAAGAAATATTCTCTTTCTTTTCCCCTTTCCGATATCAAAAAATGGCACATATCTGCGAACCATTGCACGCTCAGAGGAACCGGCTATGACATAAAGGAATTGGGAGCCATGCCATAACATTAAAAGGTTCAGGATGGAGGCAACAGAGAATTGGCTGATTCTGAATCACATGACATTTAAAATTAAAGCTCAGACAATATAATTACTGATAAAAGGTGAAGTACACATATTAGACATTTTGTGAATAACTAATAAGAAAAATATACTCAGATGAATAACTATACAAAAAGTCTCTTTTATGTATAAAATAAAATAAAAAACAACAAATAATCTTAGTTGATTAATAACTTCTACATTCACTTGAGCAACTACACCTCTAATATTTTTTTGCCAAAATCCTCCTCACTTCAAGAAGAGTGAACCACAATTTTGAGCCCAACCGAAATGATGAAAGTCATACAATCATTCCTTCGCACTGTTTGTTGCTCTCCAGAACATTATTCCAACTTGTCGTTAGATTATAAGTTGAATTCACTCATAAAGGAATTGGGAGCCATGCCATAACATTAAAAGGTTCAGGATGGAGGCAACAGAGAATTGGCTGATTCTGAATCACATGACATTTAAAATTAAAGCTCAGACAATACAATTACTGATAAAAGGTGAAGTACACATATTAGACATTTTGTGAATAACTAATAAGAAAAATATACTCAGATGAATAACTATACAAAAAGTCTCTTTTATGTATAAAATAAAATAAAAAACAACAAATAATCTTAGTTGATTAATAACTTCTACATTCACTTGAGCAACTACACCTCTAATATTTTTTTGCCAAAATCCCCCTCACTTCAACAAGAGTGAACCACAATTTTGAGCCCAACCGAAATGATGAAAGTTATACAATCATTCCTTCGCACTGTTTGTTGCTCTCCAGAACATTATTCCAACTTGTCGTTAGATTATAAGTTGAATTCACTTTGCCTACTTTCTTAGGCGTGTCCCACTTCTTAAGAAATATATCAGATTCCTTTCTTGACGGAACAATTAATTTGGCTACAATGGATGTCTTATGCTTTCCAGTTCTTGTTTCGAGCAAGTCCTTCTCTTCTTGCGTGAGGAATCCATTATGAATTTGACTCAATGGCAAAGATAGATGCCTGTGATTATGGTTAAGGTCTGTGCTGTACAGTGACTTTTCAATCAGCAAATTCAATTCAGTACCATTCAGACTTTCGATGAGATTTTTGAATTCAGCAGGCAATTCTGGTGGAACTGCAGGTGCCTTTACAATCATCCTCTTCTTTTTTCTCCTGACCTTTTCTTTATTATCACCATCATCATCGTCACTGTGCCGTCTTTTCAAAACAAAAGACTTGACCGGCAGCTTCAACTTGCATCGAATTTTTATAGGCTTCTTTGTCATCGTTGCCTCAACCTCAGATATGTGATTAACCGGGACTATAATAAAACTGTTCTTGTTGTAGCACTCTGATCTTTTCTCTTTTGGGATTACAACAGATTTTCTAAATGGTGATCTTTCTCTGTCATCACCATCATCATCATCATCATCATCCACATCAATAACAAAAGAACATGGAGAAGCAACACCATTCTTCTTCGAGCCCTCTCTATCGACAGTGGCAGAGTGAGTATGGTCATCATCATCAAAAAGTGACTTATGGGTTGAGTTGCGTGAGTCAGACATAGTGAGCCCATATTAATCAACATGACTGTTATTGGTGAATTGCCATAACACCTTCAATTTCGTGTCACGGTCGAGTTTAAAAAGACCCATTCTTGAAACCTCTATCTTCTTATGGTATTTAGACCAATTAAAGGGATCACCATTATCTAACATCAAGATGTCAATAAATTTAGACATAAAAGAAGGATTATCAACACCCATCTTTCTCTTCTTCCTGGTGTTGTTGAATATATGAACAATAACACACCAACACAGAGAGACAGAGAGTGATTGATAGAACAACTCCTTGATGAAATTTGTGGGATACCTATGCTTATCTATGTAATGTACATGTATATATAAAATTCAATGGACAACTAAACTAGAGTAGACTAGACTACTAGGGACTGAAGTCTCCAAATTGGGCTTGAACCGAATCTTCAAAAATGGGATTTTGGAGATTTTCTCAATCTTCTGATTAATAATAATAATGTTGTGTTTTCAGTTTATCCAGACTAGGCTTGAACCGAAGCTTCAAAAAAGGGATTGTGGAGATTTTCTCCATCTTCTGATTAATAATAATAATAATGCTCTGTTTTCAGTTTCTCCGAACTAGGGTTGAACCGAAGCTTCAAAAATGGGATTTTGGAGATTTTCTCCACCTTCTGATTAATAATAATAATAATAATGCTCTGTTTTTAGTTTCTCCAAACTAGGCTTGAACCGAAGCTTCAAAAATGGGATTTGGAGATTTTCTCAATCTTCTGATTAATAAAAATAAAAATTATGCGTTGTTTTCAGTTTCTCCGAACTGGGCTTGAATCGAAGCTTCAAAAATGAGATTTTGGATCATTATTAACAGAATATGTAGCAGCAACAACAATGCCATTCTTCGATCCCTCTATGCCGAGAGAGCCAGAGATACTACATACTATGTTGTATGAACATCGTCGGGAAGTGGGTTATTTTTGGCTTTGTGTAACTCAGAGACAGTGATCTTGTATAAATCAAGATCACTGTTCTTGATGAATGGCCGTAAAACCTTCAATTTAGTCTCACCTTTGAGTTTGTGAAGATTCTCCTTTGCATTCTCTACCTTATGAACAAATTTACACCAATCAATACTCGACTCATTGTTGGTCTTCGTGGAGGGAGGGATCATTAACACTTACCTCATGATCATCATCCATCTTAAAGAAATCATCATCACTACTGAACTTATCATCATCCTCCACCTTCCTCTTCCCTTTCATTATCCCTGTACACAAATACAGTTTGAATCTTTGCAAATGATTATTGGCATAGAATGATTTGATAGAAGAACTATTTGTTGTGAATTGGAGATTGAGCGGTGGAGAATGAGACGTGGTCCCTATGGAACGTTTATTATACGTTACCTATGTTTTTAAGGGTGTCCAAATTTCAATGAACTTCTAACACCATCCTGCACCATGTCCTAACGACCTTGTAACTCTTCCCTTAAGCTTTCCTTTCAAGTAATATTATCCTCTGTACATAGCTATTTTTTTTTCTTTTCAAAATACTTGTATTTGAGCTGTATGTTTCACTAACTACACCTTCTCCTTGATATCTCTTGACCTGTAATTGTTATTCCCTATTGGCTCCTGGAACTACAATCCCTGGAGAATGAGCTTGATGTTGTTTTGGAACCGAAAAAACCTGCCCGCTTTCCTTTCCACCTCCGCAAAATAACATTTTTTTGAGGTACTATAAGGTGCAATACTTGCCTTTTGTTCATAAACAATGATAATGTCATATAAGAACGTGGTTTCAATGACACAATAATAACAACAAAAGAACAAGTACTCATATACATGGTTTGGCGAGATGCCAATGTCTACGACGGAGCAAAGATGAAAATCTACTATACACAATAAATACTATAAGAGCCACTCTGCAGTAAATTCCCAAAATCATATAAATTCTTAACGTTGTAATTTTCTTGCAATTTTTTGTTTTAATGGTTAGTTGCTTACACAAGTTAATTTTCTGGGCTAATATTGTGAAGCATGCATGAGCAAGGAGACTTTGTGTCCTCTATTCAATACCCAATTCTCTTAAGAGTTAATAAATTTGATTTCTGTCCGAGCTTGCTTTTGCTTCTTATAATTGGTTTTCCAGCAAAATCTAGCTACAACATTTGTCTTTTTTTTACTTGCCTGTCTGAATGTATGCCAAATTTGTCTCAAATTCGTTTTTTTTTTTTTTAATTTTTTTTTTTTTTTTTTTTTTTTTTCAAGGTTTCGTTGGCTTTCACTACACAAGATTTTAAATCTTGTTGAGCGAGCATAGTAAAGTATAATCCCATCTACAACTGAACTATACCAATGTCGATTAAAGTAGTGATTTCATTAAAACAATCTATTTGGACTCATAAGAACAATAGAATGGTTATGTTGGCGGTTCAATTTCTAGAAAATTTCTCTTTCTTTTTCCCTTTCCAATATCAAAAAATGGCACATATCCGCGAACCATTGCACACTCAGAGGAACCGGCTATGACAGAAAGGAATTAAGAGCTATGCCATAACATTAAAAGGTTCAGGATGGAGGCAACAGAGAATTGGCTGATTCTGAATCACATGGCATTCAAAATTAAAGCTCAGACAATACAATTACTGATAAAGGGTGAAGCATACATCTGAGACATTTTGTGAATAACTAATAAGAAAAATGTAATCAGATGAATAACTATATAAAAAATCTCTTTTATGTATAAAATAATAAAAAAAACAACAAATAATCTCAGTTGATTAATAACTTCCACATTCACTTGAGCAACTACACCTCTAATGTTTTTTTGCCTAAATCCTCTTCACTTCAACAAGAGTGAACCACAATTTTGAGCCCACCTAAAATGACCAAAGTTGTACAATCATTCCTTCGCACTGCTTGTTGCTCTCCACAACATCATTCCAGCTTGTCATTAGATTATAAGTTGAATTCACTTTGCCAATTTTCTTAGGCATGTCCCACTTCTTAAGAAATATATCAGATTCCTTTCTTGGCGGATCAATTAATTTGGCTTCAATGGATGTCTTATGATTTCCAGTTCTTGTTTCGAGCAAGTCCTTCTCTTTTCTCGTGAGGAATCCATTATCAATTTGACTCAATGGCAGAGATAGACGCCCCTGATTATGGTTAAGGTCTGTGCTGTATAGTGACTTTTCAAACACAAAGTTCAATTCAATACCATTCAAACTTTCGATGTGGTTCTTGAATTTAGCAGGCAATTCTGGCGGAATTGCAAGTGCCTTTACAATCATCCTCTTCTTCTTTCTCCTAACCTTTTCTTCATCATCACCATAATCACCATAATTACCATCACTGTGCCGCCTTTTCAAAACAAAAGCCTTGTCTTGCAACTTCAATTTGCATCGAATTTTCATAGTCTTCTTTGTCATTATTGCCTCAGCATCAGACATGTGATTGACCAGGACTATAATAGCACTCTTCTTGTTGCAGCGCTCTGATATTTTCCCTTTTGGGATTATGACAAATTTTCCCAATGGGGATCTTTCTCTATCATCATCATCATCATCATTATCATCATCATCATCGTCATCAACATCAATAACAGAAGAACATCAAGAAACAACACCATTCTTCTTCGAGCCCTCTCTACCGACAGAGACAGAGTGAGTATGATCATCATTATCAAAAAGTGGCTTATGGGTTGAGTTGCGTAACTCCGACATAGTGAGCCCATACAAATCAACATGACTGTTATTGATGAATTGCCATAACACCTTCAATTTCGTGTTATGGTCGGGTTTAAGAAGACCCTTTCTTGAAACCTCTATCTTCTTGTGGTATATAGACCAATCAGAGGGATCACCATTACCCAACATCAACATGTCAACAAATTTAGACAAAACTGAAGGATTATCAACACCCATCTTTCTCTTCTTCTTGGTGTTGTTGAATATAAGAACAATAACACACCAACACAGAGAGACAAAGAGTGATTAATAGAACAACTCTTTGATGAAATTTGTGGGATACCTATGCTTATCAATGTAATGTACATGTATATATAGAATTCAATGGACAACTAAACTAGAGTAGACTAGACTACTTGGGACTGAAGTGTCCGAAATGGGCTTGAACCGAAGCTTCAAAAATGGGATTTTGGTGATTTTCTCAATCTTCTGATTAATAATAATAATAATAATGCGCTATCTTTAGTTTCTCTGAACTGGGCTTGTACCGAAGCTTGAAAAATGGGATTTTGGAGATTTTCTCCATCTTTTGATTAATAATAATAATAATGCTTTGTTTTCAGTTTCTCCGAACTAGGCTTGAACCGAAGCTTCAAAAATGGGATTTTGGAGATTTTCTCCATCTTCTGATTAATAATAATAATAATAATAATAATAATAATAATAATAATAATAATAATAATAATAATGCTCTGTTTTCAGTATCTCCGAACTGGGCTTGAATCGAAGCTTCAAAAATGGGATTTTGGATCATTATTAACAGAATATGTAACAGCAACAACAATGCCATTCTTCGACAGAGCCAGAGATACTACATACTGTGTGTGTATGAACATCGTCAAGAAGTGGGTTATTTTTGGCTTTGTGTAACATAAACACAGTGATCTTGTATAAATCAAGATCACTGTTCTTGATGAATGGCCATAAAACTTTTAATTTAGTCTCACCTTTGAGTTTGAGAAGATTCTCCTTTGCATCCTCTACCTTATGAACAAATTTACACCAATCAATACTTGACCCCTTGTTGGTCTTCGAGGAGGGATCATTAACACTTACCTCATCATCATCATCCGTCTTAAAGAAATCATCATCACTACTGAACTTATCATCATCCTCCATCTTCCTCTTCCTCGTCATTATGCCTGAACACAAACACAGTTTCAATCTTTGCAAAAGATTATTGGCAAAGAATGATTTGGTAGAAGAACTGTTCGTTATGAGTTGGAGAATGAGAGGTGAAATTTGTGGGATATTCATATACATATTTATATACACTAAA